AATACCATTATTATACTAAGAAATAGGTACCTACTTGTTGATTTGAGAACATTACTCATTGCGAGCCGGCTGCAATACTCATCATAATTAAATGACCACTGCTTGGCTAATAAAGACTTGTATAGTATCTCGAAGCAACAGACAGCCAAGAGAGAATATTTGATATAAACTGCTGAGATGAGCATACTAGTTACTAAGTCCCGTAAAAGAAAAGTGAGTTTGTTTTTGTTTTATAGCATTTATAAATATCAAAGGGAAACGACATATTACACGTTACAAATGTGACCGTATGTTTGACTGTCATTTCTTAACGCCATAAACATGTCATAACATCAATAGTTCGCGATTCTTATATCTCGTATTTATTAAGGTAACAAATAATATTTTACTAACGTTTTCATGAAGGGGAAGCAAATTGTTTGACCTCCACGAGATCGTTCTAGAATTTTTTAATAAATTTGCTACAATATAACTGATCTGGCTTCGTCCTCATCTTACCATGCACCGCTGATGCTTCGTCAGCCCAGATGAGTGCATTGGAATTTGATATCCATGCATAAAAAAATAAGTTGCAGATGGATGTTCAGTTACGAGTATATGATTTGCAATTCAATTAAGACGTGGATCGAAATTGCGACGGCTCGGTGTGAGCCTAGTTCGAACCCCTAGCGATACCCACAGACTAAAATTAGTATCCGTCAGGCGGGAGTTGGCTTTCAATCGCTCTATAACTCCTTTCGTATATTTAGAGTGCCATCTACACTCGCCTCCTATCGTCCGGTGAAGATGTAAAGACCAGCTGCGGCCAACAGCATTAGAGGAGTCCGAAAACATATGAAGTGATTCATATATAATTACAAAATTGTAGATTTGACTTTGTCAATTAATACGCGATATAACGCAGTAACTGAGACGCAGTAGAGGAAAAGTATAGCGCGTTTCAAACTAATTAAACACTCAATTGAGGGGGCATTAACTTATTAACAAGGCGAATTGTGCAGCAATACATGCGTGCACTTGAGATGGCTATTCATAAATATGAGAGCATTCAACGACTGTAATACGATAAGAGACGGTGCTGCACGACCCATTTATCGACGATACTTCCTGAACATAATCGATGCATCAGTCCAATCAATAAGGTTCATTATAAGTACTGCCATAATTAGACATGTACTATCACAATGTCTTTAAAACAGCACAAGTTTCTTACTCATTCTTCTTGTAATGAGAAAGCTTTACAAATAAGCGGTGAATTAAAAATTTTATGATGACTATTCAAAAGTGCTTAAATTAAGTTTATTTGAAAAAAGGATTTTCTATTCTGTTTACTATGGAGCATAATTAAACATAAACATGACCTAGACTAATCAGAGAATTGGAAATTTTGAAAAATTCGCCTAGGATGTGGCTGTTATTAAGTAACTTGATATCACACTGATTGTGTCAATGTGTCGTAAACTACAAGAATAATACATGAACATACCATCACAACAATTATTATGTATTGGGTAGATCGAGGCATTGTCAATTATAGGCGTCATAATGAATGACATGCTTAAATTTCTGTAGGTAGATTTAAATCATATATTTTTGTTATCAGTGTTTCCTTCACCGAAGGGTGAAGCAAGTCTTTTTTATTGTACAAACTATTGTATCCACTTTTTTTCGAATAACATTTAAAACAGTAATTTGTTTCACAATTTCTAAATAGGCATAATTACCTCTGTGAAACTCTATGCTCTATGAAAGTGAAATTTGCTCAGTGCCCTTAACGATCTAACTACTCTTTTATTTATCACTAATTAATTAAATTATCAATAATGATGTACAATTAGCCAGCTTGTAGTATCAATCATTAATTATCGCCAGACATCGTCGGGATGTAACACGGGAATGTTATAAGTATATGAATAAAACAGATCACTTTAGTTTTGTAAGTGCGCCTACGCAATGCACTCTACATTCCGATGTACACATATTAACGCTGTTGGTTTAAGCTTCTGTAATCACTGAGAAGAGTAGATGAAAACGATGGAACACCACAAGGTGTTATACTTATGAATGTATACTTACATAGCCAGAAGTACCTTTATTATTTGTATACTATTAAGTACCTCTATACTAATATCATAAAGAGGTCAAGTTTGTGAGATTGATATTGGAGGAATTTGCAGCACTTATGGTCTGATTTATAAAATCTTTTAGTGTTGGATCGTCCATTTACTAGAAAATTCTCTGATGATGCGCATTTAACAAAAATGTAATAGTTTATAAGAAGAATAACTATAACTATGTAAATTGTTTTCAATAAAATATATTATTTCTAGCAGACATGGCCACGCGAAGCTGTGGCTCAGGTTCTTGAATAAAATAATATTGGGACTATAAATTGAGATGTCTATCCTATCTTTCAAGATGGATCAAATTACACACAATGTGCAAATCAAATTTGCAATCGGTTCAGTAGTTTAGGAGTCCATCGCGGACAAACAACGTGAGACATAATTTTTATATATAAAGATCATTATTTATCGAGGAAGGCTATATCATACTACAACCAATAGAAGCGGAGCTGCAATGAAAGATGTTGCAAATACAGGTAAAACGAGATACAGAGAAGTAGGACGGGTTAGTTTAGAATATTTGGACTATACAATAGATGACATAGATGACAAGACAAACACTCAAACAATTTACTATAAAAACTTTTTGGTATAGTATACTTAAGTAAAAATAATGACCATAAACTACATTTTTTATATGCTTGATTGAAATGGCAATATGTTGACGGTCCACCTGATGGTAAGTGGTAACCATCACATAAATACGGATATAATATCACACAAGACGCCTGCGGTATTATTCCAACACTAAGATAATGTCATGGCTCTCGTCATGTTTTCACATTTTCACTTCTTCATTAAGTAAAAATAAATAGAAACACATTAGACAAGGTATAAATGTTTAATGTTTCTTATAATTGTAAATAAAGATATTTATTAAAGACTAGTTTACTCGTCATATGATCACGAGATTAGTGGCTGAGTAGCGTAACGATGTCATTACCAGACGGTGTCAGTAGTTTTAAGTACTGTCGCTAGATTGTTCAACGAAAGTTCGCGACACATCGTGACTACTGCACTCCCGATATCCGTATATCTATTGACCGATATCTCTTAAACTCATATAAACTTATTTATTATTGGATTTCAAGCAGATAATAAATAGCTCGCAATTTTTGTGGAACGTACAGCTATTATTGAAAATTAGATAAGACGAAAACTGTTTGTCGTTAGTTTATCGTCAATGTATGGCGTTTACATATAATTAAATGTTTCGAAGCCAAGATTAGAACCCGCGAACATCGAACGTAAGATAGTATCAAAACCTCATCTCTGATTCACCGGGGCCTATAATGTTTCTTAACTCCAATGCTTAACCTTGACAGCGTACTACATTCCATATTTATGAAATTTGTTTAATGTCTTCAAACTCATGGTCATCAATCATTCAATAATTCGTTACGTCATCGCAGTAGTGACATCAGACATCTTAATGGCAATGCCCTAAGTGATCTTTGTAAATATAGCAATGTAATCATCGAATGTTGTTTCCAATTTTGAATCTAACTCCGACGACATAAGAAATTAAGTCAATTTTATTAGTGTATCAAGAAAAAGTTGACCTCTATATACTTAAACAAACGGATTGATAATAAAACAAGGTTATCAAAATAATTAAGTAGGTATAAAAATATAAGCTTATATAGTCATCCGGTTGTAGACAAAGAAATTGAAGATTTTAATGTGACTTTTACGTTCTGAAAGTACAATTTTTTCAATTTACTTATAAGTTTAGCAGATACTGAAAAAGAAATAAAAAATTCATACCCTAAATATTAATCATTTATAAAAAAACATTTTCATGGACACGATAGTCTGGAAGATAAAAAACCAAATATAAAGTGACACAAATAAAATGTACCTCACTAAGCAATCGTATAAGAGCATGCACCTGTAAAGAAATTTAGTACTTATACGGGCAATTTTAAAAGCCATAATTTCCTGGTTAATTTATAATTCTAATAAATGGTACATGAAACTCTAATTATTAGCAAACTATATTTATGTGGCACCTCTGTTGCAACAATTAATGCCGTCGTAACATCGACCTAATCTTAAAAAATTATATGGGGGAGGAGATTGTTAATAATCGGGATTATACGAGTAGCACTATGAGCTAGCAATATTCCTTATCAATTTATTTTCCACAAGATGGCCTCACGTCAAACATGTCAGCTGGTTCGCCATAATGGCCTGATCTCACTTCATGCTTATCCTATCATCCTCCACTGCCGTTCGTATACCGTTAACAAAGGCGGGTCCACCATTCTATTAACTTCCACAAAAAGAAACTATGCAATTTTGCGGTACTGAGTAGGATAATTTGTTACATTTGTAATTTGTAATACTTTAGTACATATAGTCTTTAAATTGGCCATAATTGCAATATTTTGAATCATACTGAACTTGAGAACAGAAGCTAGTCCATACTATATGTATAATAATTATTACTTTATTGGAATATTTCGAGAAAATCAAATCAATCTATAATCTATAATTTGTCAAATCTACAATCGGTTCGGAGTGCTTTCAAAGAAGCTGAGAAGAACTGATAAGAAACTTAACATAACGTATATTAATAAAAATAAATGATTATACCACAACGAGAGACGTAGAATTTTTTCTCATAAAAATACACACACTTGCGGATAAAAGTAATAATTTGTAAATATTCCCCAACTCGATAAAATTGCCCGTAAAAGCACACTTATTTGTAACTAAGTACTTACTGGGCTGGCATTTCATCTCATCAGTACCATCGTAGCAGTCGTTGTAGCCGTCACAGCGCTTCAAGAACCTCACACAACGAGTGTGGTCACACCGAAACTCATCTGGCCGACAGTCTGTCAACAATTCATAAAATATAATTCTTACCTTCCTTTCTTATAGGGTATTCAGTCTTCGAACAGTTTAATTCGTCTTCGCTATTAGGACAGTCAATGTTGTTGTCACACCACTGTTCTGAACAGATGGTCACGTTTGAGTCAGTGCATTCATAGACATTCTCGCAGGGCGTGGCCGTAGGTAGAGGGTAAGGCGTCGTCGTTTCCGCTACTATTATAAAAAAAAAGAAAAAAAAACATAATTAAAACAGCCCCTTTGTACTAGCGATTTTCCAGAGTAAATGTGCAAAGAACGTATTCGTAGCGTAGACGTTCGGTCAACGCGACGCGTGCGTCACTCTTGTACGCAACGGTAGCGTCGCGTAGTTACGATTCTGTCGCAGCGTTTCTGCAGCGCTACCATCGCATTGTTGCAGTTTTCATTTGTACATAAATACGTTGATGTACATTTACGCTGTAGAAACGCTAGTTATTGTAAGAGGGCATAGAAATTAAATAAATAATATAAAAAATAATTATCTCGCTGTATATTATGCATTGGTTGTAGCAAATTGTTGGATTATGATTACAGTATTCTGTAACGCAGGTCACACGGAATACAGCCTATTTAAGCTGACAACGTTGGTTTATATAGATGTCAGAATATTTAAGATCACACCTATTCTTTGTGAATTTCCGTTACAAGTACACAAATATTAATAATTCCATGATGTATATTAGGTACAATTGATTGTTAGGAGAATACCACTAAAAAGCTATTCGACTGCCTCGTCTAAGTTAAATCATTTGCTACTCACAAGCGATAATATCCATAAAAGTAATAATAAATAATTGACTTGAAACATAAATTAGGAAGTATAAAAAATAAAATAAATAATAATGAACACCCACAACGAAAGAATATGACATATTAATATGTTATTGAATTCGCGTGACATACATACAAGAAATTTTACAACTAAAACTAACTAAAAAGTCTCATTTAGTTTTAAAATCTCCGATCAAAATTTGTATATCGTAATGGAAGCTGAATGAAGCTGGTTATAGCTGAGCTGCATGACTGGTTTGATGCCTCTTCTGTCTAATTAATGTGACAAAGCCCAATTTACAGCATTGAATGATGTCATACTTTGTATGTTGTTATTTTTTTTATTGTCTGTAGAAAGTGTAATGCGATCAATGTGTATTTTCATTTCTATCATGTACTTTCCATGCTTCATAAATATTTTCTGTGTAATTGAAATTGTAAGCTGACGGTCCACCTCATGGTAAGTGACACATCATGTTAAACCGCTCAAGCGTTGCATTCCGTGTCTTTTATCATTATCTTGTAATGTTACCGCCTACCGAAACAGCTGCTTGGCGGCTGAATTAGGTAAGACTGATATATTTATGTAGCCAACTTTTTACAGCTACATCACATCACCACATACTATGATAAACCAATGTCCCTACTGCTTGGCACTGACAAAGTAATTTAATTATTTAAAATCAGCCAGCTGCTATCGGTTAATATAGTATTAGAACTTTTGTTATTAAATTTAGATGTGGCCAGATAGGAGATATTGCTATTCAAATTTTTTATTTAGAAAGTACATATTCGGTGTCTCCTATAGTTCGTGATTTTAGCTGTTAACATATTGTGAGCCTTTTATTTTTAGCATCTATATACATATCTTACGTTTGTATTTAACTATATTTATTAACACTGCATATTAAACACCTACACATAGTCAATATTTTTTTTTAACTAGCAACCGCAGTAATGCCTTAGAAGGGTCAGTCAGTTCCGTTTCTTGGAAGTAGCCTAAGAAAAGAAAGAGCTACTTCAAATTAACGTATAATTTCGTAGTGGGCGTTCGAAAAAAAATAGAAAATAAAGAAAATACCATCAGGGCATTGACTTTCATCAGTTCCGTCATTACAGTCATTATATCCGTCACACAACTTCAGTTTTTCGACACAGCGGTTACTATCACACAATATCTCGTTGTCCGCGCAAGTCTCGAGTGAGGTGTCTGCAAATATTGTTGTACAAATGACAATTATTGAATTAATGATACTAAATCATTGTTACACCTGTTTAATGAAAAAGCAATAATACTAATGAAACTTAGGACTAAATAAGTGATTATGGTTATAGTTATATAAGCGACCAAAATGATACTTTTGAATTTAATTCCCAAAGGTTTCATTTAATTCCAACTGACATGAAAAAGCCTTGTTAATCAATTTATAGGTACGTCTACGTCGGCGTTTGGCAAAAATTATCAGCAGAATATGGGCATATCCAATGTAGCATTCACCACCGCTAACAACCCTATCTAGAATAGACCCTACTAGGCCTCATTCGCAATTTAAGACCATTCTTAAAATACCGACACGTACCAATATCGTGACATTTCGACTTTAATATTTAAAAGAATATAAATCTAATATTTTATTACGTAGATAATATTATTTTGAAATCAATTTCAGGACCCTTTCGACCCTTTTTGTTATAAAGTCAGATTTTTCTCCTTTAAAATGATTTTTACGGATTTCCAACATTAACCTTTATACAAATATTGATGGTATCGGCGTTGTGTAAACCTTTGAATTTATAAGGCCTCTTGTCCTTAGGGCGTAATATTAACGAACCAATGCACACCAAAGCTAATCTAATCCTATTACAATTGGCATTTTTAAATGGCCATATTTATCAATATATTTAATATTGCTACTACTAACAACAGTTTAGTAATTCAAGATAGTTACATTATTGACTACATTTCTAAACAAAAAGTACTACAATGTACCATAATAGCCATTGTATGATCGTCCCCATAGTAAATAATAAGCCTCTTTTATGATAAAATTGGGTAACATCATCACCAATCTAGATATCTCTGTCGCCCAATAATAAGACATATTTTTAGTTAAAAGTAATTATATACGTTTTGTTATAATATGTATGCAGAAAGTTTATTATTCCAAATATTTACATTATTAGGGAAAATGAATTGTTATAGTAAGGTGCTTTAAAACTATAAGTTACAGTAACAGGCTGTTAAGGCATACAAGGTTTGATTGATAATATTTCTATTAATTGGAACAGCATGAGTTGTAAGGCTTGTCAATCAGCTTAGTCTCAAAGAGAGATCAAGAGAGATATTGGTTCTAAACAGATAGCAAATGAGAACGTACGTTAGCAAGTTACCAATGCCATCAATTAGCTATTGTATTTATTACATGTCCTTTTGATTCCTAGCTGACCGATCTGCTGCAATCTATTGTGGTATATAAGGCCTAATCAAATTAGTGCTCAATAATTTAAACCATAATAAATCTCTTTAATAAAATGTGCAACAAAAATAATATAAGACCCGATTGCTTCATTGTTTTTAAAATAATAAGAATTGTAAGTTTAAATGACTTTGGGTATTAGTATTATTAAAACAGTGCCCTTTCAAGTATGCAAAGAGACAACAACTCGTCCAAAGACTACAGACCTTTCAAGTAAAATCAGTGCTATGATACTTATTATGAAAGATCCTCAATTTTTTAAACCATTGCTTGTAATGTTACATCTGTAATACTGTAATAATACAATCTGCTTAAATCTAACGTTACATATACCTATATATGTTTATCAATGACACTAGTGAATTTTGTCATTGAGTAAGGTTCGATTTCTTGGAGACATTTAGAATTTTATGTATCGTAAAAAATAGTAGATTATGCCAGAAATACAATAATAGGTAAATAAATAAGCAGTTATATATCTAATAATATGATTTTATTATATATTTTCCCATATTTTACCATACCTATTAGTTGTTTGACCACAAATTAAATATTGAGCACGAATTTCCCACTGACCTTATATTTAAGTATAAGCAAAAATATATGAAATAACCTACCGGGTCCAATGACGTTAGTACTGAATTCATGGTCGTTGACAGTGATCGCTCCAAGTTTGCCAATCTGCTTAATGTGATTTCGAAGCAGCTCTGTGATTTCGTTAAGCTTATCGGCATCGTCATGGCCATTTTCAACTATGTCCAAGGTCACTTTGCAGGAGAACTCATCTACACGAGATCTGGGTGGGGTAGAAAAATATAAAATCAAATTAAAAATACATTAGATGATATACATCTAGAATATACATAGAATTATAGTTAGAGTTGTATAAATTAAACTCATTTTAAATTAGATCCCAGATTCATTAAAGCTTTATCTTTTTCAATAAAGAATATTTGTACATATCTGTCCTTCAATAATAGATATAATAGCCAGTAAATGTACAAAATAGTTTCAGGACGTAAATATTACTTTATTCAAAGTTCGATCTGTTACTAAGATATTATTGCCTATGAATGGATAACTAAAATAATGTGGTATTCTGATAAAGTAAAATTTAATTTTTCTAACAGGTATTAAGCGGACATTCTACGAGTATACGAATAGAGCTCTTTTATTTAATTTTATATTATAGCACTGAACGACAAATTTTTTGGGATTGGTAATGGAATACTATGTACAATAAAACAAAGAAATACATTGTTCCCTATGTGTTGAGTTATGATCACTTCATTTATAAATTTTTTCAACAAACTTTTAATTTCGATCTCTATTAATACAAACAAAAATATTTAAAAACATTGCCCGAGTTAATACATTCGAATGTCCCATTCGTTATATTGTATTAGCTGTTAAGCGTTATCGAGTTATTGGTCCAATGATTTGTGTGATCTTATTCTTTGGTACATCAGTACATTCATTATCATTAGTACATCAATCATCAAGTAGTAATATACTCACTGTATCCTCACTAGACTTGCTTTGTAAGATCCTAGCGGTTCAAGCAGGGTATTAACAGCCTCAGCCAAGGTCTGAGAGAATTCTCTGAATTCTATAGAATCTCTATTGGAGTATTCGTCCTTGTATGGTTCTTGTACATTGAACGATACGCGTAGAGTCTCTGAAAATGATGATGAAACCAACATTAAGATAAATACCCAATAATAAATAACCGGTGACAACTCAAAGCACTATGTTTCTAAAACCTAAGATAAGCTGTGTGCGATAAACAGTTTGACAAACAAACAGTTTTTTTAATACATACTTATATATAGTATGTAATTATAGAAAATACCTAAATCAATAGAAATGTTCATGTAGTATGGCATCTCACCCTACCGAAGAGCAAGGTAGTGCTCTAGAACAACTAAAATTTTTGTAGACATTAACACAGCCGCTTTTATAATTTACCGTATGACTATCATATTATATAATGTTTTTATCATTGACGTTGACAATTCCATGGAATGCTTTTTATGTAAATGAAGTGGCAAATATCTGGCGGCCAACCTGATTGTAAAGTGGAAACCGTAGCCTATGTACATGAACACCATCACGAACATCACGTTAACATATACCATCACATAATCATGTGATGTTCGTGATACTTCATGCGTTGCGGACACATTCCAGTATGTCATACCTCCGTAACATATTACTGCTGTATCGCTTAACCGAAACATATCCTCTACTTGGCAGAAGAAATAGCAAAGATAGATGTATCCAGATAACTTTACAGATACAAAGTCTATCTCTGTGAAATAATGATGAATAGTTAGCAAAGAACGTGAAGTAGGTAAGGTCGTTGATGAAGAAGCACTTTGACGATGCACTAAGAACAAGATATTAGTCTATACTCACTTTCTTTAGAATCCATAACACTTCCCCCAAACCCCGAGCCATCACGGTCTAGATCTTGATCACTGAAATGTACAAACAAAAACTTTATTTGCAATGTATAATAATAAAAGTAAAGTTACGTACTACTAGCTTCTATCCACAGCTTCTCTTATGTTAAAATTAAAATTCACCTTCCTTTTAATAACAGTATGAAAAAGAAATATGCTAACAATTCGGCAAAGTTTGAAAGAAATTAGATGACCCAATAAAAGGATTCATATAAGACTTACTCCACCCAGTATCTATGTAAAGTACTCAAGAACTGTCCTCAGCTTCCTATGTATCTCTCTACCAAAATTCATCATAATCAATTCAACGGTTAAGGCGTGAAAGCATATCAAACTCCGTTTCATATATATAACACTTGTTAGTTAGTATTGTATTAAAATTAAAATGGTCATCTCTACACGATGTTATTAGACGCGTATAGTCAATTCCAAATTATTAAAGTTAACAAATTGACTAAAAAAAATATATAAAATTTATATTCTTATAAATTTAACTGTCTTTCTACAGACAGTGAGAATAAAGAATAATATAAATAATTGATATACTTAAGTGGATAAATGACAAAATTTGAAACTTACAACCCGTCATCGTCGTCGGCAGTAGGTTGAATTTCCGGCTTTACCGATGTCGTGACAGGGGAAAAATCTGCAATGGTAAGGTATTGTTTATTATTTTATCTATGAAATAGCAAATACGCTAGACCATAGACCTAAGGGAGACCTAAGGGAAATACCGTCGCCAACATACACGAATAGCTCCAGGGCTCGAAACAGGAGGAATAATATATTTTCTGAATACACACATAGGGGTGGGTTATAATAAATTACTTACTACAATTATATTATATAACTCTGTTTAAAATGGTTCAGAGACAAACTAATGTAATAGCTGAATACTATTTTTATTCGTTGAAAGATTATTTTATTTAATTACAAAACAATTTTTTATACATATTAATATGTAATACATATAATAAGTAACACAATGTAGAAAAGACAAACGATGTTCGTAATCTGACAGAGCCTTTGTCTTTACAATGGGAAACCGGCGAGACGATAGACAGTACATTTAAATAAAATGTAAGCCTAATTAAGGAAACTCACCGAAAAAATTTGGAAAAAATTGCCGCTTGATCCTGCGAAGATGGTGGCTTATACCGACGTCTGTTGCCTTAACCTCAAAGAATTCATTAGATGAATCTTCCTCGCCCTCCCAGTATAGATCTTCACCGTTTGTCGTCTGAAAATTTACCGAATCAAATGTTATCTTAGTAATGTTATGAACGCGAGAGTTTGTAAGTATAGATGTTTGTTACTCTTTCACCCAAAAACTACTGAATGTATTCTTATGAAACTTCACAGTAATATAGATTACGCATCCAAATAACAGAAAGGCTATTTTTTAAATTTGAAATCGCGAGCACAGTCGTTTAAATATATTTAAAAATCACAAACATCAAAAGTAATAAGCCGGGACAAGTCAGGCAGCGCTATCTAAACCCAAACTAAGCAATGCTTGAGTTATAGGCACCAGATAACTGGTAGTGTACTAGATACTATATATAATAATAATAATATCTCAGGGCAATTCACAGCGCCATCTAATCTCAAGCTAAGTAGAACTTGTATTATAGGTGACTATGACTATGACCTAGTAGACAACTGATATAATTATATACCTACATACATTTTTTTTTTGTAAATACATAACATATATAGAAAAAAAAAACAAATATAACATATGAATAAAATGTACACACGTGCAGATGTAGTACCCGAGCTAATAAAAGTATTTAAAAATTATTTTACGGAAGCAAATTATATAGTACCTATATAAAAAAAAAGTTGAAGATATTCAAAAACCGGTGTTTACCAAATAAACGAACATACAAATTTTACCTCTTTATAATATTGGTATGGACAATTTCGTTTTAGGTAATTTTTTTTAGATTGTTTAACAGATTCTTTTATCTTTATTCTAACAACATATTCTTTGAAAAATCTATTCTAATTCCTTGAAGCGAATAGTTTTCATTTCATTGCGATTTTATTACAAGTAATGTATACAGAAGATTTAATGTGAGAGAGCGTTGTAGCTTAGTGGTTACTGCCTCGAATACAAAAAGGTCGTGATTTCGGCGACACCAAAGAACAGACTTTTTGTAACAATTTATATATCTGTATCTCCGGTGATGAAAACACGCATAAAAACTAAGCTAATCCGAGAAACGGTGGTAGGCTCACCACCACATAATATTACATTGGATTAAAATAGGTACCGAGCGACATGTGGGCATGACAAGAGTAGTGTTCACTCTACCTCATCTTGGATAACAGCTGTGATTATCAGAAAATAGAATAAATAGAAGGGGAACGAGGGAGACAAACCAATCTTCAAAGGACGTCTTTGGTCCGTAACGGATAAGCGTACGAAGGAGTAGGTATAAAGTTAATAAGCGAGTAGCGATTGGTCAATCGTTCTGTGAAGCCCCGCCCAGTAACGATCCCGTTACGAAAATTGTTATAACCTCAAATTTTACAATACACACACGATGAAATAAACAAAGGCTACCGAGTTCAATAGTTGAAAGTTTTTTTTTATTCTGACAATTATTTGAGTAGTGGTCGCCTAGTGTTTGAAATTTGATCATAATTCACTTAATTTCCAAGTATAAACCTTATTAAGGTTCTATAGTACCTATGATACCTATGAATACGTGTTCTACCATAAGCTATATGCTATTTTTTTTCATTTAATAATAATTAATTTAATTGTTTAAGCACTATAATAAGAATTTCTGCATTCTTCTCCATATAAACCTTACTTGTATAATATTTTATACTCGTCTGTCCGCATGATTAAAATTATTAAAAGGAGTACAAAATTTGTACTGTACTGTGTGTTGATATGTAGATATGATATGATATGATATTCTCATGGATAAATAATATATGCACATGATAGGTACCTACTTTCTAATCGATAGGTCCCAAACTGTTCCACAGATACACAATTTAAGGAGTATACTTTAGGTATATATAATGCCAAAAATATCACATAGATGTCGTTACTAGTCGAATTTGTACGAAACTAAAACGATGTTTTTAAATAATGATTGATAACCATTTCTACTCTGGCTTATTACCTTTGGGGCAGACAGAAACAATTAGAATCTATATAGTAAAGTAGCTACTTGTAATGTAGGTATACATAATAGAAACTTCCTTCTGAAGGAAGCGGATTATTAGTAATGTTAGTGGACTACCCCGTTGCTAGTATGTCAGGTTGACCTCCATGCTGTTCCCCCTCGAAACCATCGTGATTAACTAGTAAATTTATCATGATGGGCTAACTGACCTGACCACATACACATGTTATCATACTCCACTGGTACCCCATCAGAGTAAACCAGCGCAGCTCCATTCCATTATCATCCATAAAAAGATGTATTTTCTCCCGAGGGGAACTAATGGGAACTAGTAGATTTTAGCAAGGTACCATGTCAAGATGACTTTCACGTGTCTCATGGAAATCAACGTGAATTATCCCTGATGAATTAACCACGATGGAATAACTGACTAAACTGTTAAAAGTGATAGTATACCTAAGCATGATTTCATGCTTAGGTATACTATCACTTTTAACTGGTGTCCAGACAGATTTTAGCGCAGACAAAGTCTCTCTTCTTCTCTTTCAGCATAGAGTAGTCCACTGCTGGACGTATGCCTCTTGCATAGTTTTCCACTATGTTCTGTACTGTGGCGCATCTTGCCCAGGTCGGCCCTGCCGTCTTCCTGATGTCGTCAGACCATCTGGCGGTTGGTCTACCTACGCTTCTGCATCCCATACTAAGTCGCCACATTAGGGATCTATATGTCCATCTGACGTAGCACTAACTACAGACGAAGTACCAACGCCTCTTCGACCATAACAAAGGTACTTTCTCCTATATTCAGTAAATATAGTAGTGTAAAAGAATATTGAGGACGGGTGGAGATTGTTAGTAATGGGGACTACTCAATGTACCATTGTTGGTTGACCTTCATGCTATAATATATATAGCGATATTCTATTCTAATTCCTAGGTATTCACAATAGGCAACTGATGTTGCTAACTCGATGTCATATTCATCATCAAATATTTGGTATCATCACGTCCTCGGTAGCCAGCGGTATAACACACCGCGTTACTTCCAATGTATTACATTTGTATTCATCATCTTCATCATCATCTGCTTCTTCTTTATCATCTCGTTATTTACTCCCTTTCTTACAGTTTTTTATATTTGAATTCATGAGTACGATTATTTGTATCGGTCGGCGTTTTTTATGTATATTGAATGGTTTTATGAATTTTTTTTTTGATGAATTTTTGTTTTGATGAATTTAAAAAGAGGTATTTATTAATTGTACCAGTTATCCAGTGTCCACAACATAAGCTCTGCTGAGCTTCAGACTAGATGGCGCTGTGCAAATTGTCTTGGGTTATACTTTATTCATTATTTATACAAATTGATGCCACTTATTTGGTATATTATATTTCTAAAACATAACCATAGAGGGGTGAGGAGTGGGCACCATGACACTATGTGTCCATCATGGTGAATTTTTGATGAATTAGCCACTATAAACTAAGAATTGATCTGATTTCATTCTCAACCATTAGTACAGTACAAGCATATAGCGGTAGTGCTGGCGTCTGCAATTATCATTTAAAAAAACTAAGTTCTCCCAGTAAAAATTATTGTAAGTCAAATGGTTACTGTGCGGGTTACTCGATACAAAAATAGATTTTTGAAATTGTTTGCCAGTAGCCATATAAAAGGTCATGATTCGCAAATAAATCGACACTCAAGCCGCAATTAGGGGACGACGGGGCTGTTGGCACAAGGAGGGATTTCTTTGCAATTTTAGTTAGTCCAACATGATCCGCGCAAAGGCGCGGACGACGCGTTGTGCAAGCTAATAGACACCCGGCCGGGCTGTACCACGACCCTACCGCACATTGTACACACAATGTATTTTTAGTAATATCGACACGATTTATATCAAATAAATTTGATTAGAATCATTTATCTTTGACAAATATTATATACCTACCTACCATAGGTGTGCCCACAGTTTCACTCGCGTTAAATTTCAATATATAAATTTTATAGCCTATATGTCATTGTGATGCATAAGGTATATTACTGTAAAGTTTCATCAAAATCCGTTCTGTAGTTTTTGCGTGAAAGAGAAAGAAAGTCTTTAAGTATCGATGTTTGTTAGGTAAACAAACATCGATACTTAAAGACTTTCATGTTTATACAATTACTAGCTACTCGCCCCGGCTTCGCACGGGTGTACATGTCTTATATATATAAACCTTCCTATTGAATCACTCAAAATACCCGCTTTAAAATCCGTTGCGTAGTTGTAAAGATTTAAACATACATAGAGACAGACAGCGACAGCGACAGCGACTTTATTTTAAATAATATAATTATTATACTAATAAATAATATTATATAGTTTATTTAAATAAAATCATAGTGTAAAAGGTAGTATGTAAGAGTAATTTATATATCTATAGATTAAAGTCTCATAGAGACTTTAATCTATAGATCGATATTCTCGTGTAAATATTATCTTATTACGTATGTGTACGTTATCGATATTATAAATAATAACATCTAAATCGTTTCATAATTTTAATGATATAGCGTAATATAAAAAACATCAACTAAAACCGCCTCAATCAACAAACAACGTCACAGTGGTGACTGAAACGATATCGTAAATAAAACATAAAAAGACCCTCAAAAAATAAAACCTTTTCTTTCTTTCAGCTTTCGTAGTTGAGTATGAAGAAATAAGTAAGAAATATTTGTATAACTGATAATTGCAAGAGATCTTTGTTATAATCCATAGTTAACCATAAAAAAACAGTGCTATGGGAATGGATAGAAACAGGTGTTTCGTTTTAGTGAAAATAAATATTTGAGTCCAAATTTCGATGTCGAAGAGGTATTTTGTTAACAGATAAAAGTGATGAGTTTACCGATAATTCATATCTGTATGATACGGGATATTTCAAAATGATACTTATCTATGTATATTTCAGGGTCACTGTAACCTAAATCGTATCTGTTTAATATGCATTCTGTCTATATATATTTTTTTTCTCAGGACAATTGACACAGCGCCATCTAGTCCCAAGCTAAGCAGAGCTTGTGTTATGGATACTAGACAACTGA